TATTCAATACGCAACAAGCACGACAATCCACGCCATACGGCCAGCCACACACCGCATTTGTCCACCCCATCACGCGTATGACTGGCCGTATGGCGTGATTGTGGCGTGCGTATTGTGTACAGATTGACAAATGAAGACATAAGAAACATAAAACTATCACATGCTTCAAACTTCATTGTCACGCACTTCCTATTCGCACAAAGGCTACATCCCCACTGTTGCTGATTTGCCTACCTCCTACACGAAAGGAACCCACTGAAGTGATCGTACAGCGGGTCTTTAACGAGGTATGGGCGGCACACCCTTACACTAACCTTGTCAGGTGACTAATATCATTTCCAAAATCTTGTTCAGGTAATGGGATAAGTTATAAAGGGCAAGTACTAGAAAGATGGAGTGCTGCTGAAGGAGAAATTGCATTAAGGAGTTGTGTGGCTTGACTGCCTGACTCAACGAGTAGAAGAAAACGAATTCAAGAATCACCTCCATCTTGATAAGCGTTGGCATGTTCTCTTCGTCAGAGTCGATATCAATGCCCGTCAATGGTGATGGTCGAGGCACTGGTGTCAGCTTCAAGTCCGATAATGAGAGTTCTTCACGAAGCGCTGCCTTGCCAGCTGCTAGATGTCCTCTGAAGAGAAATGGCATGGAAACTAACAAAGCACCAAATCGCAACAGAACACGGGAAGGCGAATTGAGACAAAAAGAAACAATGGAGCTAATTTTAGGACTCACTTGAAACGTTTCACAGTCTTCTTTAATTCCTTCAGTTGTTGACTTTGCATCATTCGCAGAGTGTCACGGGCCTAGATGAATCATGCAAACTCGGAAACAAAAAAATATGTTCCTGCATAGATGGTGAACGGTCGCCGGAATGTCTGGGAAAGAATCGATTGTTTCCGATAACGATTTATGCAGCACTACTCGGTCTACGCAACGATTCCAGAAAAAAAACTTATTTCTGTGCACCACAGTGGGACGTTCTGCGCAAAAAAAGTAGTTGCAAAAGTAACAGGGAGGGGCCATACAGAGGCGCGTCAGGTCAAGCATGCCAGAACGGCACGTCGTACACGGAATACCAGCGGCGAGACTTCTATTTGACCTAGGAAGTTACTTTTAACAGTTGATTCCTCCTGTCCTACGCGCACTATTCACTTCGTTGTGTTACTCCCACTTTGGGAAGGAGTCGTATAGTTGTCCACTTGAAACCTCTCGCTGACAGTAGGATTTTCGTTAGGAACAGACATTTGGGAAGTTCCGGTCAAAGTGGTATAAAACTGGAAGAGTCAGAAAGTTGGCAGATAGGAGGGGATAGGGGGGGAGTGGTGCAGGGGCACACTAGAGGGAGAACTCTGGAGGAGGAGTCCTATTTTGCTGGAATTTTCTGCAGCGACGAACGCGCCTTGATTGCCAGGTCTTCTTCAAATTAGAAACGAAGAAAAAACATATATTGGGAAGAAATACAACTGGCAAGGCATGGTCTTCACCACCACGTTCCCGTCCGCCCCTCGCCCCACTCCCGGGCTCGCAACTAGCTTTGCCCACGAGAATTGGCGGCAAGAGAGGAAACTGTTCAGCTGGCGAGAGAAGACGCGCCGAGGCACTTCGCTCCAAACCCCATTAATGCTAGTTTTTTTTAGGGTGGAGGTGTCTTGGTACGAGCAGTTTTCCACTAGCTACTACTGACTCACGATACGAAATAATTGGAAATTAGACACTAGGAAAAGCTATAATAAAAAATCTCACCTGAAGCGGCCGGTACTCGTTGATAAGGTGGTGCATATTTATAAATATCGTTTGTATGTCATTGATTTTCTCATTTCTCTCAGGATGATCTGGGCATCGTACAAGAATGTCAAGCAGGTCGAGAAACGCCACCACTACGCTCCTGCAAACAAAAGAGGATTGCTTTAGTGGGTGAGGGGATTCAACTACAAAGGTTTTTGGGCTATGTGGGGGCACAACCTATCTATTTTTTTTCTGAAAATGAGAAATAAAGTAAGCTCAAGTTGGAATCCGAGAAATTCCATCACTGGAACCGAAACAATTGAAGAGAGCGACTGGTAATGGCTAGCACTTTTGGGATGCACCATGGAATCAACTCTCCTGCGAACCACCGAAAGATGGCCACGTGAGGGGAGCTGGGAGGAGCATATCCGATTTTCGGACCGCGTAATATCCTTGTATAATTTTGACACCAAAATCTCGACAAGATCAAAGTAAGGTGAGCTGGGCGCACTGGGTCGGATGACGCGCCACAGCGCCTCCGCTCGAATGTGGAGAATTTGCAGTTTATGTGTAGAAAACCTCATTGTGCCTCATTTTGATAGCTGCGTTCTAGGCAAATCATGTGGGCGGAGTCAGGCTTACGTTGCCTACTGCCATAGTTGGACTGCCCTCCTCCCCAAATCCTTACGAAGGAGCGCACCAATGGGGGGGAGGCAGGACGACAGGCCTGACCCGGCCATCTGTTCAGCATGAACTGTACCTTTGAGTGACAACAACACGAGCACTAACCTATTCAGTTTCTTCATCTCCGTCTTCCAATCATACTTAGCCGGATACAGTTGCTTGATGTTTTGCGATGCTAATGATCTGGAAATAATTGGGGGTACAAAATGAACCACTCGAAATGTAGTCAATTTTTGTGACGGAGAACTCCGTTACCCCAGCGACTAAGCAGGCATGACGAACTTCACGTTAAGCGACATTAAGCTAACGATATAATCTGATTATTAGTTAAAATACGGTCCGCGATTGAAAATTGTGCGCAGTTGAAGACAGCTCCCGCGATAAAAGTGTCATGGATAGTTGCTGTTCAATTATGAAACATTAGCTGATAAGCAATTCAATAAAGAAGAAAAAAGCAAGGAGAGTTCTCAAGAACACCACAAACGAAATTGCTCCGTGACAGTCACACCGCCCGCGGTCTCTATTGCAAACCCCTGTGCTAAACAACGCTTTTTCGCACCTCCCAGTAGAAGATCATCGCAACTTCAAAGAACACAAGAAAACAACAGAAACACTGACGAAAAACCCTCGACAAAGAAAAAATTCCAGAAACTCAGCGTCCGAATTTAGTTTTACGGTAGCGTGCATCTTTTAGTGCCTCTCGAGCTTCTGCTACGAAAACTGTATCACTCGTGGTTTTTACGGGGTTCACCTTGCAAGATGAGTTGCATTTTATGTTGCTCCTAATGAATAAAATTTCATAAAGGAGAGCAGAAAATTACTTTATGGAAGCCAGCGCGGTCAGCAAACAATGGACGACAACTTCCCATAATGTCCGCACGGCCCCAACAAAACAACAACTGAGCGGCCCGCCGTCAGAGGGCATCTAGCAAGTGGGCGGCCCAGGGCGGGCGCTAGAACTAGAACTTTCAGCGGCTGTACCTCGCTCCTCGCTCGCTGTGGAGTTGCGAGAGCGGGACAGTCTCCAGCTTGGGGCTGGACTGATTGCACAAGGAAGGACGAACTTTGTACTACTCGAAACGCGTTGAGGCCTATCTTTAAGTCTTCAACACAGAAAGGTTATGTGGGATGAGCAACCAATACAGATCAAGGCAGAGCGAAAGCGATCCAAATAAGGCCCCTGTTCATTTTAAGCAGATCGCACGAGCACGGCGAAATAACAGATAATGCAATAGAGAAACAAGTGGAGAAATGACACACAGATGGGCGAGGCGGCCCATACTCTGACACAACAACAAATCGCAAAATCAGTCAGCGCATGAGGCCGGCCTGAGCTCTGTGGTGCGGGCGCTTGACCCCTGCGCCGGTACATTCTCTGAAAGAAAAAAACCCCAGCCGCATCACAACGTAATAAATGCTTGGTGCAAATGGCGGACACACTTTCGTGCCCAAGCCAAGATGACAAAGAAAATGAGGTACCAACCTTATAATATCATCTTCCAAGCGGTATTCCTCTCCGAACACAGTGAACACCGATTGAACAGGCGGTGGAGGAAGAACTGCGCCTTGACTGATTCTTTCAGTGGTGTAGTGTTGAGCATTAGTCGGGAGGCGGGCAGGCAAGATGGACCACCAGGCACAGAGCACGCAGCTGCCTGATTCATTACCTTCAAATCGGGAAAAAATCTCTCGCTGATATGAATAAACAACGAGTTTCCAAGCAAGCCACGAAGCAATGACGGCTGAAAAAGTGACGCATAAATAAAAAGTAAACAACGGAACACAATGTCAACACATTCACCGCACATTTCGCGGACAATGAAGGCCAAAAAAGCTCGCGGCCTTAAGCCTGATTTCCGCAGTCCTAACGTGAACACGTCGCGCATAGACCACTGGAGACCATGGAGAACGGCAGTATTCGATGGGGATACTTTAGGTCATGGCGTGAACAGGCTGGTTCATGCACTCATTCATAGCAAGCGCAGCTCCATCGGTTGCTAAGTGAGCGCGAATTACAATTAATAGTGTAAGTGTATGAGAAGGTCAACTTGTGCGATCATAAGATGCAGGTCATGATTTTTCGAGGTTCAAGTTACCTTCCAAGTTCCAGATATCGGACAACTTAGAGACATGAAACTGCGTTCATACCGGTGGGGGGGGGGGGGATTGGGACCACAACAGAAAGTCCCCGTTCATCTCGGCGATAACGTAGTTTAGTGAGGGAAGCGAGACTGGGACCACAGGAGACAAAGTCTCCACTAAACTTGAGTCTCGATCGGAGGAAGGGATGGGCCGGCGCTGGCTGGTTCCCCAAACTATGTTGTCACGTTCATATCTTGCGTTGTTCCCAAAGCCGAGCGTCTGCGGGAAAGAAAGGCCAGCGCAGCAGAACTGGGCCACAGGGCTGTGTTCCCTCCCCAACTAAAGCTTAGAGCGCAGACAAGCATGGCCGCCACGGTTACGCGGCGTGGGCTTTTCCAGGAGAAGGGGGCTTCGTTTAAGAAGCCACATGATCATGGGTGAAAAGTTGGAATCCCGCGATCGACCTTGGCAAGTTGTGGGGCGGCTCAGAATTGTTAAAAAATAAATCATTAAAATAAAAAATGGGGCTAGTAAAGCATTATTCAAAAAAGTAAACAAAAAAAAGCACCGCAGAAACATAGAATAAGACCCTACTCAATCAGACGCATCTGGACGAGTTTCGCAGATGGGTGAGTTCTCCGAAACCCATCGCCACCTCGTTGCGGCTAATACTCGTGAGGCTACTATTCAGGTTGTTTCGAAGTTAATCTATCTAATCTGATCTAACCTAATCAATTTAATCTATCTATAAGTTAGTCCCTCTATCCGTGTACGAAACAATAGGAATTCAGCGATTATCAATGATCGAGCAAGGGATTGCTAATGGAAAACCAGTCGAGGTGGGATTAACACGCGAGGCGGAGTTAGCTTATCATTGTTTGACTCCGCCTTCGTCTATCAAAATCGATTTCATGCGATCACAAGGAGCTGGGATACTTTTGGTTGCGGATTCCACGATCTTGTACAGTACATTGCTTCTTTCACCTTGGTTGATCACGGACGCTGTCTTTAAGGAAGTTCAAGTTGTCCGCAGGGTCGCCGCAAGTTGCCTCGCAGCCAATCTCTATTCGACTCGCCTAAGATAACTCGTGCTCGCAGCCAATCTCTATTCGACTCGCTGCTCTAAGACTAACTCTTGGTCGGGAAGGGGTCGCAGAGGCACGTGGCCCAGTTCAACTACGTTGGCCCCCAGGAGAAGATGGAGAATCGACTGGTTGGGTAAGAGTGCATCGTACCTTGCGTCAGAGTTTTAAGCGTTTCGGACAGGGGAAAATATAGGTATTGATTACGCTGAGAACGCTAGTCCGTGCGGACGCTTAGACTTCTTGGTTATTACCTTAACTTTTTTCTATTCACTCGAAACATGACAGAGCTCAAAACCGCTCATTGAGCGATTTCACGAATGCACTCCCATGCATCGGTTCTTATTTGTAAGGAGTATTGGGAGGATTACGAATAAACAGAATCGCAAAGAAAACGCGAGAAGTGCTGTGTTCGAATCTGGGCATCAACGAGTCGTGGGGGATTAAGGGATCCGCAGTTTCAGGAAGTGCAGGCGGGCAGTACCACAAACTGGTGGGCAGAATGAGAAGTGATAACAAGTGAAGATAGTTGACAAGCGAGCAGTTTAGAGGGGGGAGGCGGTCACTTTAGTTCATGGCGCCTGTCACAGCCAACATGAGGATGCTTTCTAAACAAAGGGAGTGGGATAGGAAACAAAACTTTACTGATGAGTAACAGGAAATGATGAAGGAGCCTGTAAGGGACAGTTAGAGAGGAAACCCGCCAAAAGCTCGGCTCTGTGCGTGACAGCAGCAGTTGGCAGGGCGGGGGGGGCGCCTAGCACAATTCAATGGAGCTGGAGCGGGAAAGTAATGGTTGCTGATAGGTGGTGACACTGTCGCCTAAACCACCCGCAAGGAATGCCGGACGAGTTTTACGGGAGCAAGTCGTCCACTTCGTTGTGGGGGGTCTTTAACTTCATTGCGAATTAGGGTACTTCAATGAGACGGTTTTTGTTATTTTGCGAGATTATCGCTTTTGTGTGTAATCATATTATAGTTATTATTTATTGAAGATCTGCCTCTTGCTTCGACTTAGCGAAACACATGAAACTTGAGTTTTGCAACCGCGAAACTTTGAAGCACACCAACTACTACAGCTTCTGTTTTTTAGGGACTACATCCCGTCGGGTGCCACCATTTTTAAAAGTTTTGCCACTCAGCGTTGATTCCAGCGCAGGAAGGTATCTACAACCTATCTTCGGTATTCTGTGCACACAATGGCTGTTAAGAGCTGGTTTGTTAATGTCGGGGTGCTGCCGCGAAAAATTCCGTTTGACCAGTGGGGTTTGGAGACAATTTTGACTCGCTCAGTTTTAGGGGGCTCTCAAGGGAAAGAACAGTTGAGTTCAGGAGAACAATAACAAATCTCTGTTAGATCTAGATTCATAATTCGCTTCGCTCGCGCGATTCGCTTGGCCAATGGAGACGATTGGCGGACCTACTAAGTTGGTATCCGGGGCCATCCGCACAATGGCCTTGCGATGTTGGCGGCGCATTGCCCTTTCCTCTCCAATCTTTGGCCGTCCCCTCACCACTCCCCCTACCCAATTTTTCTGTACCTTATTATATCTCCTTGCATCTCTATTGCAATTTTTTTAGCTCCACTCTTGTTATGTTAATTATTACTTTATTAGTTGCAATAGTAAATAAATAAATAATGCAATTTTTGTCAAGCCGCAATGGTAAATGAATATGGCAAAAATACAAGCATAATGTCTCAAATGCAGCTGGAACGGAGAAGATTACTACTGCGTGGAAACGTGAATTACCTCCCTCAGGATCATTGGTAGATGTTTTTGCTTCGAATCAACCGCAGTATAGCCACAAGATTTTGTTTCGAATCAACCGCAGTATAGCCACAACATAAAAACGCTCTTAATTGTGTTCTCCCACCCCCTTCTGCAGGTGAACGAGAGCAGCCCGAGTACATACATGACTGCTGGAGCCATTCTTGCTCATGCGGAAGCTCCGGAACCAATCCACAAGCCAAAAGCAGTATGCACTTAGCAAAGCACGAAACCGGTAAGTCAGTATCCACTTTCATCAGCCTTTCGAAGCAGAAGCAGATCTCGAAAATATTAACTATGATTACGCACAAAAGCGATAATCTCGCAAAAAACCGCTCTTATTGAAGTATCCTAATTCAAATGAAGTTAAAGGGACGCGTGGTCCCACAACGAAGTGGACGACTTGCGCCCGTAAAACTCGTCCGGCATTTTTTCCGGGTGTAGGTTTAGGCGACAGTGGTGGTGACACAACGGCCGATAAAGTTGCTGTTGATATTGCTATCATGGAAAAGTACCCAAACACTAAGGCTGCGTTCATACTTTGCGTCAGCGAGCATTTTGAGCGACTAGGAAGGCACAGGTA